TCTCTTTGAGTTCTTTTGCACAGTTCTTTAAAAACTTCAAATACATCAGATTTTTCCCTAATGAAGTTAATCCAGGTGAATCTGGAAAAATCATCCACAACAACATAGGCATATCTTTTTCCACCAAGACTTTCCACCTGCATTGGTCCCATCAGATCCATATGTAGAAGTTCTAGAACCTTAGAGGTAGTCAGATGTCTTGACTTTGGATGTGACATCCTAGTCTGCTTACCAACCTGACATTCACCATAAACTCTTCCTTCATCAATTTGCAGTCTTGGAATCCCTCTGACTGCCTCCATGAATATAATCCTTTTCATTCCTCTTAGATGAAGATGGCCAAGTTTTTGGTGCCACAGTTTCACCTCTTTTTCTTCTTTGGCAATAGAACACACAGTGGAGTAATTAGTGTTCTCAGGCTCCCACAAGTAACAATTGTCTTTAGATCTGACTCCTTTCATTACAACTTATTGTTTCTCATTAGTTACAAGACATTCAGATTTTGAGAAGTTGACCTTGAATCCTAGATCGCATAATTGACTGCTACTAATGAGATTAGCAGTCAGGCCTTTTACCAATAATACTTCATTTAGATTTAGAACTCCAGGGCAGTCCAAGTTACCAACTCCTTTGATTTCTCCTCTAGAACCATCTCCAAAGGTCACATAACTAGTGGTGTGAGGTTTAACATTATTGAGAAGGTTCTTGATTCCAGTCATGTGCTTAGAACACCCACTGTCAAAGTACCAGTCTTCCTTTGCAGAGACTCTAAGAGAAGTGTGGGCTATCAGGGCAGTAGCCTTTTTCTTCCACTGTGGAGTATGTGGTACCTTGTTAGACTTAGGTTTGACACCTGGGTTCTGATTAGGGTATCCATATAATCTGAAGCAGAATGGCTTTATGTGATCAAACCTCCCACAATGATGACATCTCCATCTTTGGTACTTTTTCTTCATATTTCTCTGTTCCCGATGTTGAGTGCTATGTTGTGACATCTGCTTTGACATTTGTTTATCAGGCCTGATCTTCTTGTCTGCACCAGATTTCTTTGCTGCCACAAATCCTAGACCAGACTTGTTTCCCACATTTTGTCCAACCTGAAGGATTTCTTCCAATTTATCAGTTCCATTTGTCAGCATCTTGACAGATTTGGTCATCTGGTTCAGTTTTGATTTCAGCATTTGAACTTCCCCTTCTAGATGACTTATAGTTTCAATGTCTGCCCTTTTCTCAGCCTCCAACTTTATTATGAGTTTTGTTTGTCTCTCATTTTGCTGACAGACTTCAGCACTTCTGATACATAATTTCTTGTAGGTATCAGCCAGTTCTTCAAATGTCACTTCCTCATCACTAGTGTCACTTTCAGAGGTACAAACACCAGTTAGTGCAGTAACTAGTTTGGCAGATTCTTCTTCAGAATTACTTTCTGAATCACAGTCAGACCAGGTAACAGACATTCCTTTCTTTTGTTTCTTAAGAAAGGTAGGACATTCAGCTCGAATGTGCCCATATCCTTCACATCCATGGCATTGAATTCCTCTGCTTTGATTTCCCTTCTCTTCAGACTTTGGTCTTCTGCTGGAGTCATAAGATCTGTTAATGTCAGAAGGAATGTTCTTAACATTTGACCTTGACTTTGGATCCATTCTCTTGATGAGTTTGTTGAATTGTCTTCCAAGCATGGCTATAGCTTCTGAAATATTTTCTTCTTCATCCTCCTTGTTTTCATCTTCAGTGTTGGATACAAGTGCTATGCTCTTGTTTTTCTTGTCAACATTGTCACTGATCCCCATCTCAAAAGTCTGAAGAGACCCAATGAGTTCATCCACCTTCAACTTGCTGATATCCTGGGCTTCCTCTATAGCAGTTACCTTCATTGCAAATCTTTTAGGCAAGGATCTGAGAATCTTTCTCACCAGTTTTTCTTCTGACATCTTTTCTCCCAATGCTCCTGAGGTGTTGGCAATCTCCAAGATGTTCATGTGAAACTCATGAATGGTTTCATCTTCCATCATCCTTAGGTTCTCAAATTTGGTAGTCAGCATCTGAAGCCTTGACATTTTTACTTTGGATGTGCCCTCATGGGTAGTTTTGAGAGTGTCCCAAACTTCCTTGGCCAGTTCACATTGATGTACTAGTCTTAATATGTTTCTATCAATTCCATTGAACAAGACATTTAATGCTTTGGAATTACCCAGGGCTAACTCATCTTCTTCTTTGCTCCATTCTTCCTCAGGCTTCAGACTGATTGTCCCATCTTTCTCAGTTATGGTGGGATGGTTCCATTCTTTGTCAGCAGCTCTCCAAGCCTTTTTGTCCAGTGATTTTAAGAAGGCAATCATACGAGGTTTCCAGTAGTCATAATTTGATCCATCCAGAATGGGTGGTCTGTTTCCAAAAACTCCTTCTTTGTCCATAGCGCCAGAAAGTGATATCCCTAGATCTCACCCAGTAAGACAGGCAGGGTGCCTGCTCTGATGCCAATTGAAATTCTGGCAGCAGATACTCAATGTCACAGTGAATGTTATGACACCGTATCTGACTTTCTATAAGATAGTAAATAAAAAAAACAGTAAAGAACACAGTCAATTGTTTACCCAGTTCAGTGTGAAACAACACCTACTCTGGGGGCTACCAAGCCAGGGAGGAAATCCACTATAAGAGATATTAATTCAGGAATAAACCAACCAGTTTATCTCCTTCACTTAAGACCTACCCAATGCAACTTCAATCTAAGTTCAACTTAAACCTGAGTTCCTACTCACTCCCCCTCAATCACAGCAGTGATACTAAACAATTGACTAATGAATTAATGAAGACACTCTTCAGAACATACACTTGATTATGCTTCACAACTTTCAATCAAGTAACACAACCACTCGTGCTTCAAAGCTTTGAGTGATACATAAACCTAACTTGACCTTGCTTCAAAGCTTTAGTCAAGTGACACAAACACTCTTGCTTTAAAGCTTTGAGTTATACACAACCCTTACAATCAAAACCTACTCCAAGTCACTTATCACAATGATACTTGCTTGGATTACAGCAGTTAAAACTATACAACCCCTAATTGATCTTCTGTCAAAGAGTTAATTTCCAAACAGCTTTCCTGTTGAATATATATGCAGCTGTTTCTTCAGTTAGGGCTTCCACGAAAAGCTAGGGTTAATTAGGGTTAACCTCAAGACTTGGTCACAAGACTTTATCAACCAGATTAGGGTTGAGCTCAGTTAACCTAAAGTCCACGTGAGATTCTGTTCTGGAATTGTATGAACCAAATTCCTGAAAAATCTCAAAATTAACCAAACTGCATAACTGTTAGATCAGTACAGGATGTCTTAACATTTGTTATGACAACAGAAATCCTGTTTACTGATTTTGGTAGAAAGTAATATATGTGATCATTGCAAAATGCTCATATACACACTCATAAATAGCAGCTACTGTATGCCATTCTTTTTATGCATAAAGTACCTAATAACCCAGAATGTTATGACATCAGTCATGACATTCACACACCTGGTTTTACCAAAAATACATGCCAATAACTAAACACTTATACAGCTCATTGAAATTGTTGGGATTTGCTGATTCTGATTGGGCTCGATGTCCCGATACTAAGAAATATGTAACAGGTTATTGTGTAATGCTGGGAGAATCTCTTTTATGCTGGAAATCCAAAAAGCAACGCACAGTGTCAAGGTCCTCAACAGAAGCGAAATACCAAGCCTTAACTTCTCTGACTTGTGAACTTCAATGGTTACAATACTTGTTTCGCGACCTCCTTGTGGATTTTTCCTAGCTTACTTCCATTTTTTGTGGCAACAAATCAACCATATATCTTGCTCATAATCCAACATTTCACGAAAGGAGCAAGTACATTGAATTGAACTGTCATGTTGTGCGCGAGAAAATACAGTCCAAACTCATTCATTTACTTACAATTTCCACATATTGTCAACTAGTTGATATGCTTACAAAATCGCTTCACTCTCCTGCACTGAAAACTACTTTGGTCAAGTTGGAACTATGTAGCATTCAAAATCCAACTTGAGGGAGGCTGTTATTATAATTTTATATGGTTTACCATTTATTTACTTTAGCCTATAGGATTATGCCACTTAAGCGGTTCTACAAACCACTCATTCTGTCTTATCTAGCTAGTATATATATTGTCAATGTAATGTGTTTAGTTTTTCCTAACTGCATAACTGCTTGTAATTGAATTCAATTATACCTTATTCTTCTTCAATATATCATCAAGGTGAATTGCTCACCATTAACAATTAATAAGAATCATTTCTCACAAGTTTCATTTTATACCTTTACTTCCTCTGTCTCCAACACAACAACACCGAGCATCGTTAGCTGCAACAACTCCAATTTCCGATTCAACAACTCATCCCTAATTTTCTTCCCGCATTATATCTTTCAGCTCCTTTCAATATCCCAAAATTTACGTCGCCTTTTACTGGTAGCCCAATAACTAGAAAAGAAATGAATTGCGCTTAGCATCAGATACTCTTTACCAAATCAACTTTTTCTGATACTCGTTACCAATAACTTTCTCTTATTTCGTTAAACTAAGCATGATGCTGTTTTAATTCCTGTTGTTACATGCAAACACACCCATGTTTTAATGTTAGTTATGTGTGTTGTAAGTTACTGTTCCCGTCGTCGATTCTGCTTCTTAAAAATCAGCTTCTCCCGAGCATATCTAAAAAGTCACAAAATTAGAACAAAATGGAAATACTTTACAATGAAACTAACATTCATTATGTGTTGATCAATGAACCAAAAGTGTTCTTCATTAATTTACAAAAGAAACTCAATATGAATCTCAAAGAATTCAATATTTTACAAAAGACTAGTCAAAAGAACTAATCCAATCACTTTATTCATCCTTTCAACAATGCTTCGAGCAAAAGACTGTACATGAATATATTGTAACAATGGCTGGACAAACGTTCGAGTTAAAATAATGAACTAATCGATTTAATTTAAACAGCAGCCGGACGACCACCCTTTCTTGGATCACTTACTGCTGTTAGAGTGCCATACTTTACATGTGAGTTGGTGCCTTCACCGAGTTTCCTATGAATGTTAATAGGTGTTTTGGGAGTATGAACAATAAGCTGAGTAATCGATTTAATTTGACATGGTTCCAGTTGATGACCTCTCTCTTTCAGGAAAAGCCTACTTTCTTTTGAAAGCTCAATGTGATCACCATCATAAGCAGTCATGTTCTCATATGAAACTGTAACCGGTAATAGCTACACGAGAAAGAAAAAAAAATCAAAATTAGATAGTAGTTAGGTGCATCATACATAAAAAAACTAGATGAATACAGAAAAGTTAGAACCTTGGTATAGACCCTTGGTCTTAGAACTGCATCTAAAGGGTTCATTCCTAAGATGAAATGATTAAGAAAGACTTGAGTCACTGCTGGAATAATGCTCATTCCGCCACTTGCTCCAATTACCCCGACCAATTGGTCGTCCTACCAAAGAATAGCAAAAGAAAGTTTCATGTGTATGAGACATTGCTGTAATTTGATTATCATATTAATCCAGTGATCATTCTTGCGCTGTAAGCAATAAGCAATACCTTTGTGATGATAATAGGAGTCATGGAAGACAGTGGCCTTTTGTTTGGTTCAATAAAATTTGTCGGTGCAGGAGGTAGTTTACCGGGGGATATATCAGTCGGTATAGAGAAATCATCCATTTCATCGTTGATCACAATACCAGTTGAAGTTGAACGAATCCCAGCTCCAAAATGTCTATCTACAGAGGTTGTCAGTGATACCGCATTTCTATCAGCATCTACCACACACAAATGGCTTGTTCCATGATCTCTAAGTTGGCTCCACCTGCATACAATTCATATACACTTTTATCAATAACTCGTTACTCGCAACATATCGTGCTTAAAGTAAAGTTTTCAAGTTTTCGTTCTAATTCAAACCACACCTTTCCATGTAGTACTCTGGAGGGAAAGTAGTGTTATCAAGTATCCGGCGCTGAATAGTCTGTGCAAAAGATGGCGAAAGCATTTCGGATACAGTTTCACTAACGTTTTCAAAGTTCGGGTCACCCAAATTCATTCGGATAGCAAACATATGTTTCGAAGCTTCTATTACTCTATGTATACCTAAATTTCCCTTTGCAGCATCAAGACTTCCATAACTATCCAAGATGTTTAGGACCTGTTCATACTAACTGTTAGAACATACAAGCATACAATTGTAGCGTGTATTATCGTATTGACATTAAATTAAACTCATGAAAGAGATATGAATATACAAACCAGAGAAAGACCAAGTGTTCCACTTGAAGGAAGTGGCATTCCATGAAAGGTGTATCCCATCGCACTCATAACCATTGCATCGGTAATTTCCACCTTGTAATTTCGTAAATCCTCCATTGTTAAAATACCACCAAGTTCTCTAACATCCTTTACTAACTTCTCACCAATGGTTCCATTGTAGAAAGCTTGTATCCCTTCCTTTGCCACTATCTCTAAAGTTTGTCCAAGTTCCACATTTCTACATATCTCACCTCCTTTTACCAAGATTCCATTAGGTGCGTATATTTTTCTTAACCCGGGATCACTCATTATCGTATTTTCAGATGAAGCTAAATAATCGCCGAGAGTGGGAGACACTACGAAACCATTTTTTGCAAGTTCTATAGCTGGTTGGAATAAGGTATTCCATGGCAATCTTCCATGTCTCAACCACGCTGCATGAAGGCCGGCTAACTCACCAGGAACTCCGACTGACAAGGCACCTAAGAACTTAGCTTCGGGATTTCTCTGATACATATTCTGTGTCGATAGTCAAACATTTACACAAATGTAAGCTTCATTCACTTCAATGATTCAATAGAAACAATTAATCTCAAACCTGTGAGGCAGCAATAGGAGCAGTTTCTCTCATGTCAAAAGCTTGTGCATTAGAGCTAGAAGATGATTTCACAACCATGAAAGAACCACCTCCTATGCCACTTGAAGCCTGAAAAACAACACCAGCGCATAACGCAGCAGCCACTGCAGCATCAACAGCATGCCCGCCAAGCCTAAGCATTGAAACACCAACAGCCGAACACCGAGCATCGTCAGCTGCAACAACTCCAATTTCTGATTCAACAACTTGTCCCTTACTGTCTGTTCTTCCCTCATTATATCTTTCAGCTCCTTTCAATATCCCGAAATTTACGTCGCCTCTTACTGCTAGCCCAATAACTAGAAAAGAAAAGAATTGCACTTAGCAATAGCATCAAATACAATTTACCAAAATCAACTTTTTCTGATTTCTACTTGAGGAATCACTTGAAATAATTCAAGAGCTAAAACAAACAGCTATAAAAATCAATAGACTTAGCTGTAATTTCATGTTAATTTGGCCTTTCCAACTTCATCAATTGAAATATCTAAATCATTTAAGAACACATAAAAGATAACTAACTTGTGATAGCAACACAGAGAAGAAGGTAACAGAAAAGAATCTTCCTGTTGAATCTATTTGGAGAAACATGATGAGGTCCCAACAAAGGTGAATCCATTAACATCTACGATGATGTTGTTCTTGTTGTATTGTATATTGTATATTGTATATTGTATATTGTATATTGATTTTAATAACTGGCTGGATATATTTATTTATGTTATGTTATGATTCATTCCTCAGTGCTAGATAAAAAAAAAATGATTTCATTCATTACGTTTTCAGCTTTACCAAATTTTGGTACGTTTGTAGTTTCTATTTATGAACTTTGATTGGTTTCGGATCCAGGTTCTTAATCTCGTGTCTAAAAAGGATAAAATCGTTTTTTTTTTCTTTTCAAACAAAAATGACAATATTTGTTTTTTTGTTAATAAACTATTATTTTTTTAATAAAAATTTAATTGAAATGTATTGAGTATAAATAAATTTTACATTATTAATAAATAGTAATCGTTAGATTTTAAATTAAGATTGATTTTTATTTTAAATATTAATAAATAATATTTATGGATGGTTATGGTGCATTAATGGTGCAAATTTTTTTACACTTACAATGTATAACGATTAATATTTTTTAATAAATAAAACAAATTACTTTTTTTTTCAAAAATAAACTATCTTTCTATAATAAAGAATAATGAGTTTTTTGGCAAGTTTGTCATTTGTCAAAATATTAACATGGGTGTTTAAATTCAAACCAATCCAAATCAAAAATCAAAAATCGATCTAAAAAATCGAAAATCACAAAAAACCAAAATTTATTAGATCTGTTTGGATGTCATTTTGTGAAAACCGATTGGTTCAGATGAAATTTCGGATTAAGTTTTCAAAACCAATCTAAACCAAACTGAACCACATACATATATTTTTATACTTATTTACTTTTTATTAGTATGATATATTACGTGAATTTATTATTAGATGATCTTCCGGACTGGGCCTGCACTTGACCCAAATATCCCAATCCGACTGTGCTACGTGGGATAGTCTGCTAACAACGACTACCCTCGAAAAGGTCGAGCAGTAACCTTGTTCTTCTGGCCGGCGTGGCTTCGCCTTACAGGGACAACCCTATGAATGGCGAGGAGGGTTGAAGACGATCAGGAGGACCTCGCGGGCATATTCCACTCTTCTTGGCGACCAAGACAAGTCCTCCGAGGACAACTTCATAGCTGGCATGGAGGGTCCATGACTGACAGAAGTACCTCACGAGCATCCTCCTCGTAGGGCTGACTCTCAACACCTCTGAATATCACGGAGTCCTCTTGGTCCCGAAAAGACCGCATCCATATCCTCTTGATAGTTCAGAGGTGTCCATCCAGGTTAGGGATCATGTGTTGGCCCCCACTACGCACGTAGGACCTGACAGTCTCCATTTGGGCTTACTTGCCCAGCCCAACGATGGGGATCTTGGCCCGTGCTGGGGGCTATAAATATCCTCTCACTTGAGAGGGTCAAGTATTAATTCTTTAACTCACATACTTTCATACTTGCTAGCACTCTCCTTGAATCTTACTTTAGCATTGGAGTGTCTTGAAGGTACCCCCCACTTCACATCAAACTGTTGCTGGACAAAAAGCTCGAAGGCCTTGACAGTCCCTTCTGGTCAGTTACGATCAGTGGCGCCGTCTGTGGATAACTAGTTTCCTCGTCTCCATCGCAAGACTAAAGCAATCTTCCATTAAACTCTGATTGTCATGGCCGATCAAGCTACTAACAACAGCCAAAACGCTCACCCCGCCGACATCAACAACAACGTTTGCAACAACATTGGTCACAACAACGTCAGGAACGACGTCAACATGGACGATCACGAGCATAACTACAGAGACGAAATGACAGCTTCTTCGTCATGCCACTCTCGACCGTACGAGGATCTCCACTCCCCCAAAACTATGAACCAAACACTTTTCACGAAGTCCTCGTCCATGCTGTCGTTGATGCCACGACTAGAACTCTGTTCGCGGCCATCAACCAAACAAACTACTTGATCTTCTCGCAGGGAGAGCAGCTAAGAGTGCTCGAACAGACTCGTCGGGCCCCGAGGAGACACACGAGACTTGACACTCCTCCTCCCTATCAGAACAAAGACCATCCTCAGTCTCCCTCGCAGAGACACAGATGGGACAGATCGCGAAGCCTCTCTCCCCGACGAACTGGGAGATGCCCCGCGTTGGAGATAACACTTCCCAGAGCCATCGGGATACGTGGTCTCACCCCCGCGCAGGGAACGATGATCCCCTAAAAACAGAAACAGGGGAAACAAAGAGAAACAACCTCGGCCAAGGATCCTTCCCGAGGCCAAGGCCATCACTGTGACTGCCATTACAACCGGTCCCATTCCCACTCTCCCTACAGGAGCGAAGAAGACGACCCCTGCGGTCCCTTATCACAAGCGATCATGGAGGCGCCCATTCTCATGGGAATGGAGAAACCTCCCCAACTGAAGGAATATGACGGCATCGCAGACCCTGTCGACCACATTGATAGATTCGAGGCAATGCTCCATTATCACAACATCGGGGGACCGATTAAATGTCGATTGTTCCCCACGACCTTAAGGAAAACTGTAATGGACAAGTACAAGAACCTCGCCCTAGGGTCGATTACCTCCTGAATAAACCTCAAGAACCAGTTCATTAGCTCCTTTACAGCGTCTCGTCGACACTCGAAGACCGAGGCCGCCCTTGAAGCTATTATCCTGAGAAGCGAAGAGACCCTCAGGGAATATATTGATTGGTTCAACTGCGAGGTCATTCAGGTCCCGTGCATTGATCACATGAAGAGGTACTTTCTCGAGAGAGGACTCCTCCCAGGCACTGAATTCAGAAAGGTCATTGTCATTGAGCCCCCCCTCCCCCCGGTCTTTCGACGCCCTCCTCGAGAAAGCCAGAGCCTACATGGACTACGAGGAGAATGAGGCAGCCAACAAAGCCTGCGACTCGAGGAATCGTGGACCGGCCAACATCCCCCGACACCAAGACGTGGGTCCTTCTCGAAGGACTGACGAGAAGAGAAGGGATGAGAAACCACGAGATCCCCGCGAGCACATGAGACCGGTAGGGCGTTTCACATAGTACACTCCGCTGACCGCTTCCAGCGAGCGTATCTTGGTAGAGTGCTCCAATACCGACTTCAAGGATGACGACATCAAACATCCTCGACCTGCTCCAACGAAGCCCGAGACTGACAGGATAAAGTACTGTCAGTACCATCAAAGTCATGGGCACCTGACAGAAGATTGCGTCAACCTCAAGGATGCCATTGAGACCCTTATCAAAGGTGGCAGACTCGGGCAATATCGATGTAATGACGCCCCTCTTCGAGACACCCGCGAGGTAAAATAAGTCGAGGAAGAAACCCGACCATCGGGCGAGTCGGGCCCCATACAGATAGCTTTCTCTGTGACAAGGCCGGAGGACTTCGACGTCCCTGACAGCTACGTGGACGAACTGTTATCCATACACAGCAGATGGGAAAAATTCCCCTCTGCCATGGTTATAACGGTAGAGGATTCAACGACCTCTCCGTCAACTCAAGAAAGAGGAAGCTCGACGAATTGGTGGATGCAACCCCAACCTAAGTGGTGACACTGGAGAGGTTCAAAGGAAAGTTTGAACCAACCAGCCTCTACCTGGAGGAGTTTCCTGGCGGGTCCCCTAACTCTAGCATATCTCTACTGGTGAGGGCAAGGATGGCTAACTTTGACTTGCATCGTATTCTAGTCGACAAGGGAAGTTCCACCAACGTCATGTATAGTCATCTATTCTAAACCTTACAGCTCGACGACACCCACCTGTCACCCTACGTGGGGTCTGACCTGCAAGGCTTCAACGGCTCGACCTCCAAACCGTCGGGTTACGTGGAGCTTTTTGTCACTTTCGGGGAAGAGGTCGCCTCCCGACAAATCAAGGTGCGATTTCTAGTGATCGACTGCCCATCTCTCTACAACTGCATCCTAGGAAGACCAACAATGGCCGACTTGACTGTTGTGCCCTCCACTGTCCAATTGAAGATGAAGTTCTACACTCGAAGAGGGCGCGTTGCCACCATCCACGAGGACATATGGGATGCGAGAAGATGTTTTCATGCAGCTTCCAAAGGGCAGAGCATGGTTGACACTGGAGCGTGACCTGCCAAAAGAGCTGCCACCGCTCGACCTGAACTGCAGCCTGCTCGGACAGAGGAGCAAAGGGTTCCACCAAAGGTCGACTCCATCTTGCTCGACACTCGCTTCGACAAGGATGAAGCCCCCAATGATGAACAGGAACTCCTATGACCCATCCCAGACAGAGACTTCGAGTTCGTCCCCCTCGGTGAAGACCCTCACAAAGGCGTGAAGATCGGCATCGGGCTCCCTGACTTGGCCAGGAAGCAGATCAAAGCTTGCTTGAGGGACAATTCAGACCTGCTCACATGGAGCATTGTGGAAATGCCTGGACTCGACCCTGAGGTCGCCTGTCACCAATTGGCCATTGATCCAGCCGCTAGGGCAATAGTGCAACATAGACGTAGGCAGTCTCCCGAGAAAGCGGAGACTGTTGAAAATGTTGTAAAAGACCTCCTAGAGGAAAATTTTATTTCTGAGGCCCGGTATTCAACCTGGCCCTCAAATGTTGTACTTGTCAAAAAGAATAATAGAAAATGGAGAATGTGTGTTGATTATACTGATCTTAATCAGGCATGCTCCAAATACATTTTTCCTTTACCTAACATTGATATGTTGGTCGAAAACTCGGCCGACTATAAAACTTTATCATTCATGGACACCTACTCGGGCTATAACCAAATTCCAATGGTCGTGAGCGACAAGCACTGTACCGCCTTCATGACAGGCTCGGGAAATTACTACTACAACGTAATGCCCTTCGGCCTAAAAAATGCGGGGGCAACATACTAGCGAATGATGAACAAAGTCTTCCGCAATGAGATCGATGACATGCACGAGGTATATATGGACGACATGATCGTCAAATATCGAACAGAAACCAACCACACTGCCCATATCAAAAGAGTCTTCTCCCAAGCGAGACAGTGCAAAATGAGATTTAACCCGGAGAAATG